AAAAAAAAACCCAGAGGGAATAGAAACAAATACTGTTGAATGATGATGCACAGAGGAGATTGTAATCATTGCAATGAAACGATGAGTGTAAAACTGATGCTCCTCCATGTCAACTGTCACTCTATTCACAATAAAAACCATAAAAAAATGAATATGGAAGGAATATACCAAGTTCTTATACCAAAAAGAAATGGTCAGTGTTTAACCATTTCAGGAGATAGCATATGGTCAAGAACTGTTGGTACTGAAGGAAGAAATCCCAACTGCACTGACGACCTTGGCAAAGAACAAGGCTCAGGAATTGACAAAATACCAACTGAAATCTTTCAATAAACTGATGCAACACTGAAGGCACTCACTCATCTGGTCAACTGACAGAAAGAGATTCACATCTGTGCCTGTTTCAGAGAGCGATGGCATAGTGAAATGCAGAAATCATCAAGCAATATTACTATCACATGCAAGTAAAGTTTTGCTGAAAATAATTTTAAATAGCTGCAGCAGCTCACCAACAGGGAGCTGCCCGTAGTTCCAGTCAGATTTAGAAGAAGACATAGAATGAGGGATATCATTGCTGGCATCAGATGGATCTTGACTGAAAGCAGAGAATACCAGAAAAAAATGTTTATCTGTGCTTTATTGATTCTGCAAACACTTTCAATTGTGTGGATCGTGACAAGCTATGGACAGCATTGCAAAGTGAGTATTCCGGAACAATTTGTTGTGTTCGTGAATCTGTACATAGACTAAGAGGTAGTTGTTTAAACAGAACAAGGGAACACTGGATGGTTTAAAATCAGGAAGAGTGTGTCAGGGTTGTATTCTTTCAGTATATTAATTTTGTTGTTTAGTGCTGTTGAGTCGGTTCCAACCCATAGCAACCCTGTATCGGGTTTCCAAGGAGCAGCTGGTGAACTTGAACTGCCGACCTTACAGTTCAAATGGCTTTGCAGTCTGGCGCATGAACCCACAGCAACACACAACTTGTATGCTGAGCAAATAATCCAAGAAGCTGAATTATGTGAAGAAGAACATGACATCAGGATTGGAGGAAGACTCATTAACAATCTGTGATATGCAGATGACACACCATTACTTGCTGGAAATGAAGAGGACTTAAAACAATTACTGATGAAGATCAAAGATTACAGCCTTTGGGATGGCTTGCATCTCAATGTAAAGAAAACAAAAATCTTCACTACTGGACCAATAGATAACATTATGATAAGTGGATAAAAGATAGAAGTCGCCAAGTACTTCATTGTGCTCTGATGAACCATCAGCATTCATAGAATCAGCAGTCAAGAAATCAAAGAACTTTGCATTAGGAAAATTTACTGCAAAAGGCCTCTTTAATGTGTTTAAGAGCAAAGAGATCAGCTTCATTACAAGGGTTCGTTTGAATCAATCCATGGTATTTTCAGTTGCCTTCTATGCTTGTGAAAATTGGACAATGAATAAGGAAGACTATAGAAGACTTGATAGATATAAATTATGGTGTTATGGAAGAATATTAAAAATATCATGGTCTGCCAGATGAGCAGACACATCTGTCTTGGAAGAATTGCAGCCAGAATACTCCTTAGAAGCATGGATGGCAAGATTTCGTCACTCACACCTCAGACATGTTATCAGGTGGAACTAGGCCTTGGAGATGGATCTCATGTTTTGCAAATTGGATCATCAACTAAAAAGAGGGAAACCCTCAAGAAGATGGATCTTCACAGTGGCCACAGCAATAGACTCAAACATGACGGTGATAAGAATGGTGTAGGATCAGGCAGTGTTTTACTGTGTTGTGCCTGGGGTCACTATGAGTCTGAGCTGAGTCAACCGTTCCTAATAACAACAATGCAGTGTTGGGATAGGAGTGGCATCAGGAGACAAAGGAAGACCTCGTCACCAGATCAACAGAATCAAACTGATGACAATGACAAGTAGATGAATGGATTTAAGAAAATACAGGTCTTTGATGTCTGAGTAAGAGCAGCCCTTGTGAAATGGCAGCACTGGAGGCCAGTTGAAGGCACTCAGAGAGCAGATGGGATGTGAAGAAGTATAGACAATGAGTGTAGAAAATTCTTTAGGAAAACGTGACTGTGAAATAGACTGTGAAAATGAACAGGAACTTGCAGGAAGTGTTCAGAAAAGAAGAAAATACAGCAGACAAAAGTGAAGTCAGATATATTTTCAAATAAAAACAGAGGACTCCTGATGTTACATGGACCCTAAAAGGCTAAACTCATCGATGAAAAAGCAATCCTATAACAATGAGAAAGCGTCCTATGAGCAGGAAAGAAAAATTATAAACAAACAAATTATAAACAAACAAATAAAAAAAATCACCCTGTAGCAAGTAAAACAATGCCTCTAGTGTTTAGAGAACTTCAGGACCTCACTTTATTTTTGAATGATCATTTTAGGTCTTTGGAAATCAATAACAAATACTGGCTTTTCAATCTGGATTGTTCATACCAGTACCTTAAATAGGATCAATGAAAGAGCCTTTACAATACATACACACAGACAGATCTCACTTACTTCCACCGTAAATAATTACTGTAGCGTCTCCTGTTCATGTAAATCTGTGTCAGGTTTTGTGGACAGTTTTCTAGAAATCTAGAAGAAACTTGAAAAATCATTTGTAGTTTTTTTATATATTTTTTTTTCACTTCAGTTATTACTTGAACTCCCCTCAAAACAACAACAACAACAACAACAACAAACCACCTCAAGTTGTCATTCTGTCGTTTTGGTAGCAAATCTGCAGTGATAATAGATATGCCCAGTATTTAATCAACAGGTCAGAAAACAAAGCCACAAGAAGGGGACTCGTGGTAGGAAAGAATTGCTGTCCTTCCCCTCCTTCTGTCCTCCCTTGCTCTCTTGCTCCCTCCTTCCTTCTTTCTTTTTCAAAACTCTTTGAGAGCAAGAATCATGGGGGTGATCAATAATCGTTGTTTGAAAAGATTGTCAAATAATACTGACAGGGGAACACAATGCAGTGACTTGGAAGATTCATTGTTCGACCATATTGATGGTTCCTGGTGTTGTTGTTAAGTACCGTCAAGTCAGTTCCGACCCATAGTGACCCTGTATAGGGTTTCCAAGGAGCTGCTGGTGAGCCTGAACGATCAACCTTGTGGCTCAAACTGACTTTGCAGTGCAGAGTATTTAAGCACAACAAGAGGAGATAAAATAGCCCAGCTAGTCATAGGAATATTGGCATCAGATAAGACTAAGGAAAGTGTGTCTGTAACGATAAAGAAGAACACAACAGAGGAGACACAGAACAATTCGACAGGCCCCCTCAGGGTCAGCCAGTCCACCCCGTTTTCTCATTGTTTTTCACCCAGACTCAGGGTACATCATGGACTCATGTTTGACCCTTACTTTCATTCTTGCCAAATCACAAAGGGTGCGTATTTCACAGGACGATACCAGTATACAGTCTGTATTCTATTCTTGTTAGAAATTCAGATGCTATTCTATTGTGAACTGATTATTTCTCCCATTTTATTCTTACATGGATCTTTTCAGCACACGCATTATTGACTAATTGAATCACTTGTTTATCCTTGGTTATAAAAAGTAATAAATTTCTAATAACAACAACAAAAAATGAAGTGAACATCAAATATGTCTAATGTTGATGACTTTAAAATACAAGACCTGACTGTGAAGACAGGAAGGCCAACGCCTTTGACCTCATCATGAATGGGTGACCACTGATGGCCTCTTTCAGTGGTCAGACAGTTGGCTCACAGCACAGTCACGACATTCTAACGGACTGGCTCCTCCTCACGGTTGGGAGACAGCCTAGCAGCAAACTTGGCTTGACATGTGCTGCATGGCTGTGTTCATGTGGCATCTCTTCTTTGTTTTCAGGTAGAAATCGAGAAGCTGGATTACCATCACTACCTGCCTCTGTTTTTTGATGGGCTCTGTGAAATGACATTTCCCTATGAGTTCTTTGCTCGTCAAGGAATCCATGACATGCTGGAACACGGGGGCAACAAGATCCTTCCCGTCATTCCGCAACTCATTATCCCGATAAAAAGTAAGTGAGCATCTGATGCCGCCTCATTCAGCCAGTGGTTCAGCTCTCTGACAGGTCGCTAATTAAGCTGTAAAGCACAACACATTGGAGGTATTCCCAGGTTTGCTGGGAGATTTTTATAAATTGACTTAGCAGGCCAGACAGCCCACATACCTCCAAACATACGCCATCATTGATGCTGCCCTGTCGCCCATCCACACAGAGCAAGTAAATTGCAGAGGAGGTTGGATAAGTTTCAAATGCTTTGTAGTAACGATGCACCAATATTCAGACCTCCTTACGACATTCAGTCAGTCATAAGACATCCAGAAATAGGTGAAGGGTGTCTCCTTGTATGTTTGAACTGCTACTAACTCCCAAGTTCTTTTAAAGGGCATGCCTAATTTTAATATTACAATAGGAACACAGTTATATTTGGTATCTTTGAGGTAATTATTGTTATTAGGCGCCATCAAGTCGGTTCTGACCAATAGCGATCCACTCACAGCAGAATGAAACCCTGCCCAGTCCTGCGTCATCCTCAGAAGTGTTTTTATTCTTGAGCGCATTGCAGCTGCCACTGTGCCAGTCCATCTCTTTGGGGGTCTCCCTCTTTTGTGCTGTCCCCACACTTCACCAAGCATGATGTCCTTCACCGGGGACTGATCCCTCCTGATCACAGGCCCAAAATATGAGAGACGAAATCTCACCATCCTGGCTTTTAAGGAATATTCTGGCTGTCCTTCTTCCAGCACTGACTGGTTTGTTTTCCTAGAGGTAGTAGAATGCATAACTTTTAGAATAACACCTCGTGAATGGGGAGATTGAGGTTTTAAAATGCATGAGAAGTTTGATCTGAAAGGTGACCTTGAGGATCTGTGGGGTGACCCTGCCACTGGCATCCTCTGTTTGCCTGTGAAAGGAAGGTGCCAGGGCCAGGGCCTGAGTTGTTTGGAATCAGCCCCCTTACCGACCCTTTCCGTGTTGTTCCCAGAAGACCGTCTCACAGCCCAGAACAAGCCTTCTGGCGACTGCTCTGCCATGACGTTCACTAGGTCACTCTTATGTTAGAGCCATGCCCACAGACACTCGTCAGACCCAGAGAGAGGACGGCCCCTCTGCATGTCTAAGTGGTCAGGCCCGGCTCCTCTCAGCACCCACCTTGTAAGGGTCACAAGGTCCTGCCATTATAGTCCAGACTCAGGTGACGCCAGAACCCACCTGCGCACATGACGTTGCTGCCACTGCCCTTGCTGCTGCTTAAGAACAGAGCATTGTCACCTCTGATCACCCCACAGACAAGGGCAACCTCACTTCAATGTCCAGGAAGAACTGATGTAACCTTTCATGTTATGGACCTAGGCCCACCCACGACCAGGTCTCTGCTTGTTCCAGTCCTAGGCCAGCAACAGCCCCATTTCCCACCCTGATCAATGGGTAAGATGGCTCAAAAGTCTCCAAACTAAGACCAAGGGGGAACCCCATTCTCACTTCCAAGGTATGCTTATGTGGGCTGTTTCCCCAAAACAAGAACAAAATTATCCAAGAATTCCCACAGTCTGGGTTATTTCATCATATCCATTGGTGGAGGGGGTGGTGGCTATGCTGGGGGTGCCTTTGAACCGGCTTTCACTCATGTTGACCCCATACACAACAGAGCAAAACACTGCCCAATCCTACTCCAGCTTCACAATTGTGAGTATATACTAGCTCACAACTCAAAATGAAGAGAAACCACTTCAAATATCCATTACTAATTGGAACATGGAATGTATGAAGTATGAATCTAGGAAAACTTGAAGTTGTCAAAACTGAAATGGAATGCATAAACATCCACATCCTAGATAGTAGGGAGCTGAAATGGACTGGTATTAGCCATTTTTAATCTGACAATCACATAATTTACCATGCTGGGAATGACAAATTAAAGAATGGTATCTCATTCACTGGCAAAAAGAAAATTTTAAGATCTGTCTTGAAGTGCAATGCTGTCTGTGGTAGGATAATTTCCATACGTTTGCAAGGAAGACCACTTAATACAACTATTATTCAAATTTACGCACCAACCGCTAAAGCCAGTGATGATGAAATTGAAAAATTCTACTAACTTCTTCAATCTGAAATTGATCAAACATGCAATCAAGATGTATTGATCATTACTGGCAATTGGAATGCAAAGGTTGGAAACAAAGAAAAGGGTTCAGTAGTTGAAAACTATGGCCTTGGTGATTGGAACGATGCTAGAGATCACATGATAGAATTTTGTAAGACCAATGACTTCTTCACTGCAAATCCCTTTTTCAAACAAAATAACTCACAAGATGAAATACATAGAAATCAAATTGACTACATTTGTTGAAAAAAAAAAAAAAACAGTGGAAAAGCTCCATATCATTAGCCTAAACAAGGCCAAGGAGAGACTATAAAGTGGACCACCAATTGTTCATGTGCAAGTTCAGGCTGAAGCTGAAGAAAATGAAAACAAGTCCACGAGAGCTAACATATAACCTTGAACAAATCCTACCTGAATTTAGATATGTTCTCAGAAACAGATTTGATGAATTAGACACAAAAGACTGAAGACTACAAGAGTTGTGGGATGACATCAAGAACGTCATACAGGAAGAAATCAAAAGGTTATTAAGAAGACAAAGAAGAAAGAAGACCAAAATGGATGTCAGAAGAGACTCTGAAACTTCCTCTCCACCATAAAGATGCTCAAGTAAATGGAAAAAAAGGAGGAGGTAAAAGAAAATTTCAAAGGGTAGCTCAAAAAGATAAAGTAAAATATTAAAATGAAATGTGCAAAGATCTGGAGTTAGAAAACCAAAAGGGAAGAGCATGTTCATCATTTCTCAAGCTGAAAGATCTGAGGCAAAATTCAAGCCTTGACTTGTAATATTGAAGGTTTCTTTGGGCAAAATACTGAATGATGAAGAAAGCATAAAAAGAGGATGGAAGGAATATACTGCACCAAAAAGTAATGGGCGATGTTCCACCATTTCAAGAGGTACCATATGATCACGAGTCAATGGTACTGAAGGAAGAAGTCCAAGGTGCATTTGCAGAGAACAAGACTCTGAGAACTGATTGAATAGAAATTGAAATCTTTCAACAAACTGATGCACTACTAGAAGCATCTACTCATCTATGCCAAGGAACTTGGAAGGCAGCAACCTTCTAACTGATTGGAAGAGATTCATAATAGAATGTAGAAATCATCCGACAATATCATTAATATCACATGCAAGTAAAAGTTTGCTAAAGATAATTCAAAAAGGGCTGCTACCATACACTGGTAATTGCCAGAGGTTCAAGCCAGATTCAGAAAAGGATGTGGAACGAGAATATCATTGCTGACATGAAATGAATCTTGGCTGAAAGCAGAAAATACCAGAAAGAAGTTTGTTGTTGTTGTTGTTGTTGTTGTTGTTGTTGTTGTTGATGTTGTTAGGTGCCATCGAGTCGGTACCAACCCATAGGGATCTTATGTACAGCAGAATGAAACACAGAAAGAAGTTGACCTGTGTTTTATTGACTATGCAAAGGCTTTTGTCTTTGTGAATCATGACAAGGTATGGACAACACGGGGAAGAATGACTACTCCATGACATTTAATTGTGCTCACGAGGAAGCTGTATGTAGACCAAGAGGCAGTCATTCGAACAGAATAAGAAGACACTGAATGGTTTAAAATCAGGAAAGTTATGTCTCAGGGTTGTGTTCTTTCACCATACTTATTCAATCTGTATGCTTAACAAATAATCTGTGAAGCTGGATTATATGAAGAAGAATGTGGCATCAGAATTAGAGGAAGACTCGTTAACAATCTGTGATCTGTAGATTATATAACCTTGCTTGCTGAAAGACAAGAGGACTTAAAATACTTACTGATGAAAATCAAAGACCACAGCCTTCAGTATGGGTTGTACCTCAATGTAAATAGAAGAAAAGTCCTCACCACTGGACCAAAAATAAACATCAAGATAAATGGAGAAAAGATTGAAGTTGTTAAAGACTGCATTTTGCTTGGATACACCATCAACATTCACGGAATCAGCAATCAAGAAGTCAAAGGAAGCATTGCATTAAGTAAATTTTCACCACAAGACCTTTTTGAAGTGTTCAAAAACAAAGATGTCAGTTTAAGGACCAAAGTGTGCCTGACCCAAGCCATGGTATTTTCAGTAGCCTCATATGCATGTCAAAGTTGGCAAATGGATAAGGAAGACTACAGAAGTTTGACACATGTGATTTATGATGCTGGAGAAGAATATTAAAGGTACCATGGACTGCCAGAAGGAAAAAAATCAAATCTGTGTTGAAAGTACAGCCAGAATGCTCCTTAGAAGCCAAAGTGGTGAGCCTTTGTCTCTCACGTTTTGGACATACTATCAGGAGGGACCAGTCTCTGGAGAAGGACATCATGCTCGGTTAAGAGGAGGGCCAAGGCAAAAGAGGAGACCCCCAACCAGATGGACTGACATAGTGACAGCAACAATGGACTCAAGATGGCAGGAATTGTAAGGACTGCACAGGACCGGGCAGTGTTTCGTTCTGTTGTACCTAGGGTCCGTATGGCTCAAAACTGCCTCGGTGACACCTAACAACAGCAACAACTAGGGCACTGCTGTGGCCACTATGTATTTTGAGGGCCTTCCAACCTGCAGGCTCATCTTCCAACACTATAGGGAACAATTCTCCTATAATCCATAGGTTTCTCACTGACGAATTTTTTGAAAGTAGATCACTAGTGTTTCTTTTCCAGTCTGTCTGAATCTGGAAGTCATACTTACCTTGGTGACCTAGCTTCCAAAATGACAGTAACACGTACGCCGCCACAGTACGACAAATGAATACAAGTGGCATCTCTTCTTATTGATTTAAATGTCATTCCCAACACTACCACCAAGCTGCTTCCAACTCATAGGGACTCTGTAGAGGGTTTTCCAAGACTGTCCTTCTTTATACGAGCAGACAGCCTCATCTTTCTCTTGTGGAGCAGCTGGTGGATTTGAACT